ATGAAAATAGAGATGATGCTATAGCTACACGTAAAGCTATAGAAGAAGCTTATTTTAAAAATGATAAAGATGTTATTTCTACTACTTTAAAAGTGGTTATGGGAATAGTTGTACTACTTGTATGCGGAAAATATTTATTGTCAACGAATGTTGTTTCAATACCCAATCAACTAAAAACAAATGACACCAGATAGTTTATCTAATCCTCATTATGATAGAAATGCTATAATGAAAAGTGTTGAACAATTTAAAGGAAAACAAAAAAATGAAAAAAACACTTTACAAGAAGAAAAGAGTAATGATAGTATAAATCAAACATCAGATACCAACAACAATGTTCCTGTATCAACGAATGATGAAGTGAAAACGCAAGGTCAAGAATTTGCTGATTTTTTAAACGAAAAAAAATAATTTAAAAAAGATAAAAAAACGCTTGACTATAATATAAGATGTATGTAATAATATAAAAACAGTGAGGGGAAACCCTTTAAATAATTAACTTGTTTTGGAGAATACTTAAATGAACGCTATCAACAAAAACTTTCAAGACCATTTCGATTTCTGTGATCATTTTGATGATCAACAGACAATCACTCGTGGTCTTTTGAAAGTAGATAGCGGGGCATTGGAAACAGAGATGAAATAAACTCAATCCAGCCCGTAATCACCAAAACAAAGGCCACTTGAAAAAGTGGCTTTTTTGTTGCCGATAATGTTAATAAAAAGTTATCGATAGGTTACTATTTTGTTAAATAGGGGAGTAGTTTAATTGGTAAAACATTGGACTTTGAATCCGAAGTAGTAGGTTCGAAACCTGCCTCCCTTGCCAAATATGCATCTGTAGCTCAGTTGGTAGAGCACTGGATTGAAGATCCGGGTGTCGTAGGTTCGAATCCTACCGGAAGCACCAAGAGTAGTAGTTCAGTTGGTTAGAACGTCTCCCTGTCACGGAGAAGGTCGCGGGTTCGAGTCCCGTCTATTCTGCCAAAGTAATGCTAGATTGGCCGAAAGGTGAGGCATCGGATTGCAAATCCGTTCAATGGGGGTTCGAATCCCTCATCTAGCTCCAAAATGGAATCTTGGCGTAGATGGTCTGCGCGTCTGCCTGAAGAGCAGAAGGTTTCGGTTCGATACCGAGAGATTCCACCAAAAGGTATG